AAGTTTTTAATATCCTGGCTTGTTGAAAAAGCCAGTGTGTTTCTGTTTTTGTAATTGCTAAGGGATGCAAACATCTCCTTATGCATTTCATTGAAGGCTGTAGATTCAGGATGGCATACAGTTTATTATGTATTTTATAGTAATCCAAGAGTGTTTAATGTAGTTTACATTATGTTAAAGTGTTTTATTTTTTCTTTCTCTTTTTGACAAAAATATTAAGCTTCATCAGGCTGTTAAATGGCTCCAAACTTCTAGATACTAAGTAAGAAATTCTCTCAACAAACCTGATGTTTGTCTGTATTACCCCAAACAGCTGGATGGTTGATGAACTTTTCACTTACATATTTGAGATAGAGCCATAGAGACCTTTCATAAGCACCCAGAAAAAAATACTAATCTTGGCCCATACCTACCATAAACACAGATATGAAGGCTAAGAGTAAGAGCTTCACAGGGGGTGATCCACTAATATGAAAAGAGACCATTTAACACATTTTCCTATGTTCATTTTTCAATTAGCTTCTCCACTCATACAGTTAGAGTAGAGTGGGAACGGAGAACCCAATATTTCAGAATCATTACATCACACTGAAAACATCATCCAAGAGGTAGTGGTTAGTTGGCATATATGCATGTTTCACCATATGCTATTGTTTACCTAACGTGGAGGCTTGGACAGGAAGTAAAAGTCATATTTTTTAAAAAATTGTAAATTATCCAAGATTATACTTCCAGGTCTAGAAATGAGTCCTAAAGTTACATAAGAATTTAACAGGCTTTATTTATCAGACCCTAAATTATTATTTTTTAAATATTAGGAATCCAACATCAACTGTAAAAATATTTACCATCTCCAATTAAAACTAGTTTGCTTGATTGTGTACAAAAATGTTAACAGTGCAACTGATATGAATATTGTTATACAATAATTTTCACTTTATGCCATCAAATTCCAATTTCCTCAGCCTTATTTTTCATGGGTTCCAAATGTAAGAATTTTGTTGGTCTTGCTAAATTGTACCAACTTGCACCTAGCAAACTACATTATATAATTGTCATAACAGAGTACCACATACTGAAGACACCTGTGGTTGGACCATCGCGGTTATTAGGAATAATCAAAAGCTGTGTGAAATCTTTTCTAGCATTCACCTGCTCAAACTAAGCACGGTTCTAGCTGGTTCTATTTAATATTCACTTTCCTCGGTTTCAAAAAAATTAATGGAAAACAGAAAGAAATAGAAATAATAAGTTAAGCCTGAATAACAGAAAGAAATAACATATTAAGCCAGGATTCAGAATGTTTTACCTTTTAGGGCAAGGAAAAATAATAGTAGTCTACATTCAAAATAGCGATTTAATCGAATACTCAGAACCTGCAGATGATTTAAAACACTTATTGTATATGGAAACAGTTTTGAAATTTGATTCTTCTTAATTTTTTATAATCAGAAGCAGCTACACTCCCAGCTATGGATATATGCTGTTGATCATAACTGCTAAATATTCTCTCCTACAATATTCTTCATGATTTAATCTGCCTGTAGTTGTGCTAGTAATCCAGTTCAAACCTTCATGCCAAATGGCAAATGATGGAAAGCTTCTTTTTTTTTAAGTATGCATGGATTCCTACATTTGAAGGTAAATTGACAGGAATTTAAATATGTATATAGAATTTTCATAAAATTATTATACATGTTTTATATATGATGCATGGCATTCTTTAGATAGTGTGCGTGTGTCTGTGTGTCTGTGTCTGTGTGTGTGTGTGAGAGAGAGAGAGAAAGAGAGAACAAATATGTGAGTACTATTAAAAAATTTGTTTTCATTAAAAAAAATCATGAGTATGCAAAGTACTGGTCTTCTTTTGACCTCAGGTCAGTAAGTAAGTGAGTAAATAAATAAATAAATAAATAGTTTGAGAAACCTTAGGGGATTTATTAACCATAATCTATACTAAGCACTTGATAAACTAAAAACTGAAAGTGATGGACTTCTGGGAAAAGCAAGCTTCAAGCAAAAATTACAAGGATTCTAACTGCTATCTCTAACATAGAATGGAAAAAAATGTGTTATGTTAACTAACACTGAACCTTCTTACCATTTCCATGTTTTTTAAGGTCATCATGGAAAATAAAGTTCAGAGGCAACATATCAAAAACATATTTTGCAGTTTGACGATTTAAAGAAATACTGCACAAAATAAACTTAAATGCTGAGTTGTTCTGCTTCAGCAAGAATCTTTGTATTAAAGGCAAAAAGATACAATGACTATAAGGGGAACTATGATTATGTCAGTGTTATTCACACATAGGATAATTGAATTAAAACAATGAGACTTCTAGGGTGTTCGGACTTGGACTTCCAATTAGGCCTTTGAATGAGACGGTGATTACATATAATCTGATTTTATTTTTTAACACTCCTAAATATTTGAGTATCTGGAGTCTCTCTTAATCACCCTTACAGCACAATGATTCTGCAAAGCCTTCTTTCCTTCAGCCTCACTGTATATTTTGTTCATAATCTGGACCTAGAACTAATGGTAAATACTAATTCATGTATTAAAAAATACTCATTTTCTACTGTGTCTGACATTGTTCTAGGGACTAGACTCCATTAATTTTATTATGAGAATGTCAACATTTGTTTTGTAGAGTTGTTTTCCAGAAACACCTGTTTATCAAAAACATTCTGGGGGACAATCTGAAAACTTTCAAATAACATTTAAAGCATGGATTCATTTTAGAAATTACCTGAACCCCTCTTCACATGTACCTTGTGACTTTTATTATCATTAAAAAGTTCCAACATTACCTGGGCATACTTGAAAGCTTTTAACTACCTTAAAAAAAAAAAAAAAAAAAAAAAAAAAAAAAAAAAAAAAAAAAAAA